AAGGTTTAGTTCTCTTCATTGAAGAGTTTACAGACCAGTTTTGAAGTATTGCCAAATATAAGGACTGCTTCCACATATTTAAAGGCAGAAGACAGAGTGAAATACATTAGCTTCCACATATGGATCTGAACAGAACTATTGGAAGAAGAAACATTTCTCAATGACAGCAGTGACGTATGACATAATTACTACTAATCAGGAAGCTAAGGGCATTGACCAGACAAAGGAATCATGTCGAGTTATCAGGATTAAAATTTAGCCAAGTAGTAAGATTTAAGGGAAACTCCTCCAATTTCATTTAAAAATCCCTGGTTTAAAATATAAATTTTTTAATGTTCAAGACAATATTAATTAAATTTGAAAATTCAAAAGCAAAAAAAGAACAAAATAATTTAGTTACAAGTATCAAATAGGCTTTTAAAAATCTGTTACATACTATATAATGACCTCATCATCTGGCTATACTTTTTTACTTAGATGTAGAGAAAATCTTGAAACAGTACATCAGACATGAAAATAATATCGTGTCATTTCATTTACAGGTCTGCATTACATTTACTGAATTTGGAAAAATGCAAAATATTTGTAACTTTCTTGTTGAAAAGCTAGATAGCTCTGTTGTCATCAGCCCACCCCAGTTCTATCATACTCCAGGTTCTGTTGAGAATCTTCGGTAAGTTTAAGCACATCTTTAACTAAGATATTCTTTAAACAAAACTATCCAGTGCTACATTTCATTGAGTGTCATATTAATAATCTCTCCATTTAATTCCTAAGACGGCAAGCCTGTCTTGTTGCTGTTGAGAATGCGTGGAGCAAAGCTCAAGAAGTCTGTAACCTTGTTGGCCAAACCTTAGGAAAACCTTTACTAATCAAAGAAGAAGAAACAAAAGAATGGGAAGGCCAAATAGATGATCACCAGTCATCCAGACTCTCAAGTTCGTTAACTGTACAACAAAAAATCAAAAGTGCAACAATACATGCTGCTTCAAAAGTATTTATAACTTTTGAGATAAAGGGGAAAGAGAAGAGAAAAAAGCACCTTTGAAATTCCAACCAAATTATTATTGTACTTGTATCTTTTTACCTATTTTTATACTTTTTATATTGTTTGCTTTTGTCCTGAATATATATATAGATTGTATAGGAGATAAACTATTTCTTTCCAAAATCTATAAATCTTTGAATATAGTCCCACAGAATACTTACATTCACTTTCTATTTTTAAAAGACTACTCTGAAAAACACTCTTGGGAAATAAATGTATTATGTACATACTTACATACTGACAGTTCATACAAGCACATGTGTAATATTTCTATTATAAGGACAAATATTGACCCTTGCATTTGATAATTTTTAAAGATATTTAAGCTAACATTTTCTCAGCCACATTTTTATATAAAACCAAATTTTATGTAAAAACTAGGCTTCAATAAGTTAAACTTTTTAAATTGTAAGACAAAATTTTTATGTAAAAGAATTCTTATATCCCATCAAACCTAATAATTTTCCACAACTAAAAATGAGTATAAATACATAATTTTAAGTGTATCCTGTCAGGTCTGATATTTGGTTTTACTTTACTTAGAAGCTAAGTAGTTACTCTGTTACTTTTTCATGGATGCTAACAGAAGACATGAGATTCCTGGACAGAAACAAAGGACTGTTACTCATGGCACAACAAGGAGTATAAGCATCAGCACATTCTCATTGCTTCCCTTGTCCCAGGTCCCGTGGGGACAAAATGATATGGCCATACACAATATGGCTACATATACAGCGGGCTTTAGTTGTAGGTAAAGGATACTGAGCTTGGAGGGTTCACTGCTTTTTATCCATGAACAGATGCAAACCTGCTCTTTGCCTTATCCCTTACAGATGCTCACTCAAAACTCAATACTGAGAAATGGCCCAGGTATAGTACAGTCAAGGTCTTGCATGGTAGCCACACCTAGCAATATGTGTAGGAAGGTGAAGTCTATTGAGGGCTATCTCACATCTAACAGTTTCTTTACTAGGACCAGAAACCATTTGATGCAGACAATAACCCCAACCTTAACAACTTCACAACATGAATAGAAATAGTGATAGATAATTCATAGCTTTTTACAAAAGAATAATGAGGTATAATGGGGAAATGTTTTGATGCCAAAAATAAAAGAGTTAATATTTGAATCAGACTCCAACAGGACTCCTTAAAATGATACAAATACAAAGCAAATGATACGTGTAATTTAAAATTTCCTAATACACACGTTTTTTATTTTTCTTTTTTGGGATGGAGTCTTGCTCTGTCACCCAAGCTGGAGTGCAGTGGTACGATCTCGGCTCACTGCAACCGCCGCCATCTTAGTTCAAGGGATTCTCCTGCCTCAGCCTCCTGAGTAGCTGGGATTACAGGCACATGCCACCATGCCTGGCTAATTTTTGTGAGATGGAGTTTCACCATGTTGACCAGGCTGGTCTTGAACTCTTGACCTTGTGATCCACCCGCCTCAGCCTCCCAAAGTGCTGGGATTACAGGCATGAGCCACTGCACCTGGCCCTGTATACACATTTTTAAAAATAAAACTTTTTTAAAAAAGAAAGGGTTGAAACTAATTTTAATAAGATTTTATTTAACCAAATATAGCAAAAATATTACTTCAGCATGTAATCAGTATTTTTTTAATTAGTGAGATATTTATGTTTTATCTTGCCTTCAAAATGCAGTGTATTTTTTTACATTATAGCACATCTCAATTCAGATGCTAAATTTTCATCAGAAATATTTGATCCATATTTAAATTTCCTAAAATATACAATTGAGAAAAAGAGATTCACATACCCAGGTTGTTCTAGCATGCCTAAAAAATCTTGTAACTGGATCAAGTATCAGTTTTTAAATTAGTTAAAATTAAATAAAATTTAAAATTTAGTTCCTCAGTCACACTAGCCATATTTCAAGTACTTGAAAGCTGCAAATGGCTTGTGACTACCTTGCTGGACAGAGCAAGGTCCAACACTGAGATAATAATGATTCTTAAGGCCATTTGAAAGTTGACAGCAAGTATGTGTTACTGCTGTTGAATTACATGTTATCTACAGGCAATCGTAAGCCATATCTGTTGTGCAGCATAGGCTTTCCATTCTTTATACATCTAGGTCGTAGCGTTTTTCTATTGATAAATCTGGATGTTTATATACCAACATTACTTTCTTACAACATATTCCAGTATACAGTGTCCATCTTCACCTACTTTTTAAAGTGGTCCTGAAACAATTTTATTCATCTTATTGGAGTGTTGCTGTAGGGGAAGAGTAGAAGCTAAGAAGAGTTTGAGTCCAACACCATTATATTCAAACTGGAGTTGTAAGCTCCTTAAAAATGGGGATCTTGTCTGTCTTGTTCACAGTTGTGTTCCCAGCCCCAGAGGTAGTCTCAAGGCCAATACCAAGTATGCTCTCAAATATTTGCTGGGAAAATTTACTAGCTGGATAAAAGACAAGTTACTTTAATCTCTTTAATCTTCCTTTTTCCTTACAAATGAAAGAGACTAATAGTACTTACCTTGCAGCATCATTATAAGAATTAAAGTTGATAAATACATGATCATGAGAACAATGGCTAGCACATAGCAGTCACTCTGAAAGTAGTAGCCAAAATATATCAACCGCATTGTTTGATTATTGTCGGCTCAATTAAAAGTTGGCTTTTCCAAATCCTCCATTTGGAATAATTTTTAAATAGCCATATTAAAAATAAAGTTATCAGAAAACCAATGTAACATATGTTGAATTTTTATTACCAAAAGTTACTATCCAGTTGTACAGAAAAGTAGAATGAGACTGTGCGTCAAGAAAAAAATTGTTCATTCTCAATAAAAATTTAATCACATGGGTAGTTTTTTTTTTAGCTATGGGTTCATGCTATATTTGGTTTCATCATATTTGATAAAGAAGCTTTCAACTTAGCATGAAATACCTAAAGACAATTTTTTTTAAGTTAGCAGGCACTTTTTAGAATATCCAGGAACTTTTAAAGATGTTGCTTCTGAAAACAAAAAAAAAAAAAAAAAAAAAAAAAATCCTGTAAAGTATACAATCCTACATCTTTCCATAGAAGATCTTAGGGAAGAAATCCTTCAAAGATTGGAAAGACTTATGTGTAGTATTCTCTATACTAAAGGGTATCAAATTTAGTTGTCAGTTGATAGCAATTTTATTTCTTGATATGTGGCATACACTGGATTCTTATGATGAATTACTTAGGGAGACCTGTGCCACAAAGCCTACTAGAATAAACCTATCCTAAACTTAATCCTGTTAGAATTTACTTCTTTTGAACTCCCTTAAAAAAAAAATCTTTCCAGAAAGTGGAAAGTTATCATTTCTGTTTTCCAAAAAACAAAATAAAATTCTAAATAGGGTATTTGAAACAGACCCACTATATTCTAAACTCCTTTTTAAAAGGAAATGCTATTAAAATAAGATTTCATATATTACTGATAATTCATAATGAATTTTAGGATTCCATTCAGTTGCATACTAAAAATTCCTTTTTTTATAGTAGCAATGTACTTTTAGCAGTATTCTTATTTGACAGTTTGAGTTCAATGTAAACAAATAGGACTTAGAAAAATAATTTGTAACTCAAGATGCTGTACCTCATATCCTATAATTATTGTTTTGTAATTTTCCTTCTCAGGAATGTGGGCTAGCGATATCTCAATTCTGTCAGATTTGTTGATAAGAATGTAATAGTGAGGAGTTCTTATAGCCTACTAAAATAAATGCATGAATTATGAGATCAAATGTGGGAGTTAATATATGATTATCTGCATTCCAAAATGAAAGCAAATTCTTTATGTATTCCAACAAAAAAAGACCTATATAAATTAGTTTGAGCTAACATTTAGACATTTACTATTAACATGTATGGTATTTGCAACCAAATCACTGAGTTTGTTGTTGTCGTTGTTGTTGTTTGGGACTGCTGCTCTGTCACCCACGATGGAGTGCAAGTAGCTCAATCATAGCTTACTGCAGCCTCAAATCTCCTGGGCTCAAGAAATCCTCTCACCTCAGCTTTTTAAGTAGCTGAAACATCAGGTGCACACCACCAGGCCTGGCTAATTTTTTATTAGCGATAAGGTCTTGCTATGTTGCCCAGGCTGGTCTCAAACTCCTGGCTTCAAACAATCCTGCCTCAGCTTCCCAAAGTGCTGGACTACAGGCATGAGCCACTGCACCCAGCCCCAAATAGCTTCTACTCATAGCCTAGTGTGGCCTAAATTTATTTAAAATGCCCGGGTAGGCCAGGCACGTTGACTCATGCCTGTAATCCCAGCACTTTGGGAGGCCGAGATAGGCAGATCACTTGAGGTCAGGAGTTCAAGACCAACCTGGCCAACATAGTAAAACCCCGTCTCTACTAAAAATACAAAAATTACTTGGGCGTGGTGGCATGTGCCTGTAATCTCAGCTACTCGGGAGGCTGAAGCAGGAGAAATGCTTCAGCCTGGGAGGTGGAGCTTACAGTGAGCCAAGATCATGCCACTGCACTTCGGCCTAGGTGAGAGAGCAAGACTCCATCTACATACATACATACACACATACATACATACATACATACATACATACATACATACATAAAATGCCCGGTATCTTACAAGACTAGTTCACAGTGGGTAATTCAAATCAGACACTGCTCTTCAAGAGAGGTAATATTAATAGAAATCTTTCAGGAAGGGTTGTTTGTACTATTAAACGAATAAAACTCTTATAAACCTGTTCATCAGGAGGATATTTCTGTTTCAGCAATACCTGGAACCCTTCTTCAACATCCCAACCAACAATTACTCCCAGATAGCCATATCACCTGTGAATTATCATGAATCCCATGTCAAATGAACAAATGCTGGCTCTGGACTCTGAATGTAAGTTGGTTAATTATAAGAGTGAAAAAAAAAAGACTAAGAAAAAACATACTATGTTATTTGCTACATAGGGTTTAAGCTTTATTAGAAGGCCAGGCATGGTGGCTTACACGTGTAATGCCAACATTTTGGGAGGCCGAGGCAAGTGGATCACTTGAGGCCAAGAGTTTGAGACCAGCCTGGACAACATGGCAAAACCCCATCTCTACTGAAAAAAAAAAAAAAAATTAGCTGGGTGTGGTGGCACATGCCTGTAATCCCAGCTACTTGGGAGGTTGAGACATGAGAATCACTTGAACCCAGGAGACAGAGGTTACAGTGAGCCAAGATCATGCCACTGCACTCCAGCTTGGGCGACAGTACAAGACTGTGGCAAAAAGAAAAGAAAAGAAAAGAAAAAGATTTATTAGGGTTGTGTATGCTCAGTATAATTAACAAAACAATATTAGTGAACCAAAAACTAAGAATAATTTACACACTAAGAAACGAAAAGCCCAGGTGGGAGGTGAAAGTTCTAATCTAAAATGATCCTGAAATAAGTTACTGATCCCTGAATTTAAAATAAAAAAAAAAAAAAAACTCCCAAATGCCATGTTGCTTACCACGTGATAGGCAGGGGTCAGGCAGTGACAGTATGTGTGGGAGTGTATGTCCATTTTTCAGAATAAGATACTTTTTCAGTGTCTTTCAAAAATAAAGATTCTGTCACCTGTCCTTTTTTTCAAGGAACAATTATGGGCAAAGAGTAAAAAACAGACACATAGTTTCAGTGCTTCATATGGACATCAGTTTTGCGCTGATCACATTAATTATGCCCTAATTATTTTTTATCTTCCCCTTCACAAGACTATGAACTCCTCAAGAGTAGGGCTATGCCTGAAACAGTTATTTTCCCAACGTTTGGGTAATAAGGAGGAAAAAAGCTGGCTGTAAGGTATCCTGCTTTATTCTCAAATAAGACAGATACTGTTTATGGCAAAGTACCTGAACATTGGTACACATGGAAGCAGGGATGGGAAATGCAGGACATATATTCAAACTGTGTTTGCACATTTTACAGTCCAATAAGCATGCTTTTATTTCTCCAGAGCTTAGCTTTCTCAAAAAGTAGTTTGTGGCTATGCGACAACATACATTCTGTTGTGTAAAGAAGCCTCTTAAATCATTTCAGAACCTATGTTCATTTCAAGCTAATTGGATCAGCTATGCCCTTTACCTCCTATTGCCACTGACCACACATTCCTCACCAGAAGGCCATAACTCACTGTCCAGAGAAAGTTGCTTTTGAAATTCTGACAGCAGCCACTATAAAATTACATCTAATAAATTCAGTAAACTTATAACTTTTAATAAACAGATGCTTAAATTGAATTCATTCCCATGGGCATTTACTTCCAAAGCATATTTTAGAATATCATATTTGTACTTGATAGCAATAGTAAATGTATAGCTCATACAAAAAGGTAATGCTTTGTTCTTCCATTGAATCAGTCATATATATTATAATTTCACTTTAAAAGAATTAGTATAACAATTCAGATAAATCAACTCCAGCCCAAGTAACTAAATAGCATCAAAAGAAATTGTTTTTAGTTTGCACTAAATTAATCATGAAAACTTCAAGGTATTACATTCTATAGGGAATAGGAGGTGAAGTATAATTAATTCAAAGTTTAATGTCAACCAAATAAAATACAGAATTATTTTTAATATATCAAATATTTCACTAGCTCAATACGTACAAAGTAAGCATAGATTTCATCTTCATTTTCAATATGCCTATTCCTAAAAAGATAAAGATTTAGTGATACAGATTCATGTCATCCACAAAGAAATCAATAGGAATATGCAGCTAAAACTTTTAAAGAGAATTTACTTGCAAACCACAAAAGTCAGCATACATTTGAAGAATGACTATATGGCTTTCATTTTGTAGGAATGTTGAGAATTTACAGTATCCCAAAATATTATTCCTCTGAAGCATTACATTCGTTTTCAAAATATTCAATTATTAAATACTTGAAAAAGAAGAAATAGAGAATTGATCTCTCTAATATTAAATCCAACGCTTTAGAATTGTTTTCTCTAAAAGATTAGACACTTCATTGACCAATATTAATTAATGATATTTCATATTGTTTGGTGATAACTCTGGAAACATAACACTGCAACAGCCACCTAAATAACTATGCGAATGCGTGAAGCTCCGAGTTTTGGACAGATTTCAGCCCTCAGTCGATCACAGTAACCCTGATGACAGGAAAAGTTGAAACATCAGCAATGTCCAAAGAGCCATGCAACTACTGCTTCTCTGTATGTGAACTAGAATACTCAGAAAGGGACAGAGACATGCATTTGAAGAAACAACAAATTCCTTGAAAAATAGTGTGGCATGATAGGGCCTATAATATTACTTCCAGAATATATGGAGGTAATAGTTTGAATGGTAACTTTTCAGTCTGCTACTTGTTAGAATCTTTTTTTTTTTTTTAATTGAGGTTGAATCTTGCACTGTTGCCCAGGCTGGAGTGCAGTGGTATGATCTTGGCTCACTGCAACATCCACCTCCAGTGTTCAAGTGATTCTCCTGCCTCAGCCTCCTAAGTAGCTGGGACTGCAGGCACATGCTACCACGCCTGGCTAATGTTTTGTATTTTTAGTAGAAACAGGGTTTCACCATGTTTACCAGGATGGTCTCGATCTCCTGACCTCGTGATCCACCCACCTCGACCTCCCAAAGTGCTGGGATTACAGGCGTGAACCACCGCGCCCGACCTAGAAATATTATCCATACATTTTGTACACCCACAGATAAATGCAATGCATCTGTACCCAAGTGAATGT